ACCGTATGGGAACGCCAAATCGTTGCGCTTGTTGATGGACTGGGGACCTGGAAACCATGACTCCAGCAGCGAACTGAAACTTCAGGCAATTAAAACTCTTGCTCCAGTGATCGCATCCTCTTCTTCTAAACTGTTTCCCGGAACTCGCATATTCTCCATTATTGGCAATTTTGGCTTACTCTAATTTTTCTGATTCCTTCACAGAGCTCACCTGGACGAGCATGTGCTCTAACCTTATTGCTTAAAAAGCATCATTCATAATTGATACCATCTGTCACAAAGTATAGGAAAGACCTCCTTTTCGCCACTCGTAGGAAGCATGACTTAGGACTGCTTGATAACCAAAGAATACAGGTTTGTATCGGGGCTGCTGCAAACCTGGATTGGGTACGTATGTCCCACTATGGCTAATAAGCTAGAAATTACCATTCCGTCTCTCTGATCTTTAAGAATACTCCTCACTTTTTACATATCAGCTCAGAATGCATACTGCCTAGGTTACTTCTGAGTAACCTGTTGTCAGTAAAAGTGCAGCGTCATATAGATTGGAAAAGAGATTAAGCGTAGGTGCTGTTGAGTAGTTCCGTCCCCGTCCTTCGTGTTTCCTGCAAACTTCCTCATTTTGCACCAAAAAACTTCAGTATGCCATTAGCTTATCACTGACATCTAGCAGGAGGCCATGTTGTGAGCATTTGATAGGACCGAAATGCATGACAACGAAGCAAAATAAAACGCTTTATCACCTCTAGTCTGTCAAAGACCTGCCTTAACTGGTAGCTACTTCAAACATGGGAGAGCATCGTATACCAATCTTGACAGTGGTGGCGTTAGGGATGAAGGAGGCTTGTAAATGAACAGGGTTACTATGGAAGTTCTCTGCAGTGCGTCATCATCGTCACTTTATCTCCCTAATTCCCATTAAGTTTTAATGGGGCCCCTTTGTAAACTGGCTCAATGACTGACTGGGTTTTTCTTCTTCTCAAACAAGGCTGGTATGGTCGCCCGGAAGAACGGTCTATACTCACATCCAATCATATCTCAGAAGATTTTCGGGCAACCGTTTCACGGTCTGCGGTTTAACTCCTTCCCTTTTCTCGTCCCGTTTCTTCTATTCTCTCCACTTCTTCGCTTTTTTGTCCTCACGCTCGCCCTCTTTTCCTTCTTTTGTTTATTTTCTCTCATCATATTCCCACTGATTTAGCGAATCATACACAGTTTGCTCCCTAGCCCAGTACCTCGGGCATGTCTGTTACATTCGAAGAACTCTTATGAGAATAAGAATTTCTGTGGGAATTTTTTAAAATTTTATTGCGTAAATTTTCGACACGGACCCACCGGTCGTCGTCAGACGT